TCCTTATCACTAATGTTATCGCTTCCTTATCACCACTATTATCACCTCCTTATCGCCACTATTATCTCCTTATCACCAAAAATCACATGAAAATCACGTGCCAAGCACGTGCTTACCTTGCGTCCTGAACGTACGTTATGAAGGCCCTGGCCTTATTTTCCAACGCCAGCAGAAACTGCCTTATGAAACCGATACGCACGCCTTGTTCCATCGGTAAGATATCCAAACGGGCCAAAAACTCGGCCACGTGACTTTCACATGCACAATTCCGCATCTCACTGCAACCATTATCTGGCTTATCACTGAATGTTATCACTTCCTTATCACCAACGTTATCACCTTCTTATCACCAACGTTATCACTACCTTATCACCTTTTTATCACTATCACCAAAACAATAAAAAACCCAAACAACCACCCAAAACTCACTCACATTTTCATGCTCTGCCCTCCCGTTCTGCCCAACAAACCCATCCCATTCGCCGCACCCGCACCCGTCTGCGACCCGTTATCACCCTTATCACCACCGTTATCACCATACTGATAACACAACGCACTCTCCTCAGTTTGCTGTTGATACAATATGGCGTTGATCTTGGCACGTTGATACTGCCATTTCATCTCGAAATGCTTCCCTATCTGCGATCCTGCACTCGAGATACACACCAATCGCTTATCGAGATCAATCACGGCCAACGGCCAGTCACTCTCGAGGCCCAACCGCATCATATCGCCCAATTCACTCTATCAACAATAATAAAAATAAAACAACAACAATAATTAATAATAATAATAATAAATAAACATCAATAATAATAAATAACAATGATAATAACAATAATAATAAATAATAACAATAAAAAAACACATCATTAAAATAAATTACAATAATAAACAACACATAATGACGAGTACGAATAAATATTCATAACAATACACAATATCAAACTCTTTATTGCAATACAGTAATAAATAGTAACAATAATAAATAACAATAAACAAATAATAATATCATAATAATAATAATAATAATAATAATAATAATAAAATCAAATAATATAAATCCAAATAAACAATAAAATAACCCAAAAAATACTAAAAATCCTACCCTATGAACAGCCTGCAGCCTGAAATACGGAGAAAATTCATGTGCATACGCTTTAACACAGCTCCATCGCC